TACACACTACCCGCCGCCTGCTGGTAAGGAGAGTTATTGCCACTCATGCATGCGCAGTTTGTACGTGCTACTTGGCCGTCGGCTGAAGTCTTTGCGGTGTGTTCCAGTGCGACACATGGCCAAGACGCAGGAGACGTGAGGCGACCCGACAGTCGTGTTCCGTTGGGACGTGTTCTTTGGTGTCAGTTTTGGTGTGTCGGCCCCTTAACATGCCATTAAATCTGACTCCACACGTGTTGCTTGTATGATGATGTGAGCCATTCAACCATCTCGGGTTAATCACAAGCCAAAGTGTGTGTGTGTGTGTGTATATTAAGTTACACATTTCTATGCTCATCAACCAGTGACGTCACAAATTACGTCAGTATAGAGTTACTGCAGTCCGGTTAACTTAAAGTCTTGACATCGGAGATACTGTTTTACTTTTTCAAGACGTCATTCACTGCTGATGTGTTGCCAAAGCTCCCACTAATCTACTAAGGTTTTAGACTCTTTCCAGATTCTTTTTTTGTTTTTTGCACGGACTTGGAAACATTTTAGCTTAACTTTTTCCCTTTTGTGAGGCATGCCAAAGGCTTATTGAGTGCAGCTGAAATGCACAGGGAGCTTTGCATTTTGAACTTCATATGTACATTGGTCTTCTGTAGAAAACTATTGAGCTTTTTTGTTTGATTTGTTTTTAAAATGAAGTAATTTCAAGCTGCTCTGTAGAAGAGAAAAGTAACTTACAATGGCTACCAAATCCAAGCTTTTAACTCGTCTGTTGTTCATTTCTTAGATTTGTTGATTTTCTCAACTTACTATTTATACAGAGATTACCTCAGATCCAGCGGGAAAAACAAGTGTCAGCTATACAAAATGTAACACGCACGCACGCACGCACGCACGCACGCACGCACGCACGCACGCACGCACGCACGCACGCACGCACGCACGCACGCACGCACGCACGCACGCACGCACGCACACACTTAGGTTATAACTCTATAGTATCATGAGTAAGATAAGCAGATGGAACACAAAGCCTCTGAGTGATCTCCTGGATCGGCTATTCATTGAGTTTAATATCGGGTGCTGCATTCGGGCTTGTATTTGGAGTTACAATGATGAATTAAATATGACTAAAGCTTACTCCTCCAACCAGGTCATAAATGGAACATTATTTTTGGCTGACCTTTATGAGTGGTATCTAACCTGTCCTATAGATCTTAGGAAGAAAGCAAATCAAAGTGTTAATATTTTAAGCTTGAGTTATACATTAAGCCACTTAACTGACCTGTTGCTTAACATGTGAGGCATTTTCTTGAGGAATCATGGTGTGAATTTCCTTTTTTAACTTCACATACAGTTGTGTAAGGTGTCATAATCAGGAGGGGAGGGTTCTGCTCAGTCTGTGTACTTGATTTTTAATATAAAAACATGAGAGGAAAATCAGAGAAAGGGTAGTATCTTATTTTGTGTTTTCAGTACGTTGTGTGTCAGAAGAGCACAATGTTGCTTGGTAACATCGGGAACTATTATCTACCTTTTGCACACGCATTTGTACCGGACTACTAGCGTCGTAAACAAGTGTGAACAAGCTGTCCGAGTCACCCTTGCCAAACTTCACAATCCACCTCGGTGGGGTCTCTGCTCCTGGCTTCTTTCCCAGTATCGCACAACCATGTTACTCCTACTGCGTTTTCTACCAGAAGAAAAGCCCGTTTTTGCTACTATACCATTTGGTTTCCCTGCAGGCCAATTTCACAGTCACACACACACATGAGTGGAAGGTGACAGTCTTGGGTGAGCTCCCATGAGTCCCAGTATTAAGTTAACATTCAATATTCACATGTCACCCTGTTCCCAATCAGTCACCATCCATAATGCAAAGGAGTGCACTGAGAGGTTAAAGGACGATGGAAAATGTGACAGAAGGAGAAAAAGGACTCGGTTAAAGAGACGGGTAAAAAAAGTATAGTTGCAGCTTGTCACGGACACAACAGATTGTTTGCTCCGCAGTCCGCATACATTTCTCATCTCATAGCGTAGTTTCTACACTGTTTTATATGTAAAATAAGAGAAAACTGCGTATTTGTTTCTTCAATGTCAATGAGATTTATTTTACAAACTGTCCTCTAAAATGTAGATTTAATGAACTTCACATTATAACCTTACAGAAAAGAAGCCAGCATTTGTAAAATGAGCTTTTTTACATGTTGCTGAGTCACTACTATCGAGTGTACTAGAATAGGACCAGAGTGTTGCTGCCCCCATTAGCTGTCCTCTGTGAATTTCTTACATAACGCATAATAGGTCTCTTTAGGGAGGCTCGGTCATGGCATGTTTGTAATGTTAGCTCAGGTCGCCCTCATTTGACGAACAGCCGTTTGTTTGTTTCAATATTGGCATTTGACCCCTCATAATTCGACAGACTTCTGTACTTACACTTGCTGTATTGACTTTGTTCATATTGAGAAACGAGCATCAGTGTGCCGCGAGTACCCGGATGATGCAGTCAAAATTCACATGCTACATCCAAATTCTTCAGTGTACGACATTGCAATGTACTGAGTGAAGTCTCCTGATTGAGACACAGCATATGTCTTAGAGGCCTTATTATGCTTTTTGGGATCTTCCTTTCCCTGTAGTGTTTTTTTGTGTGCATGTAAATGGTCTGAAAAGGCTTAAATCCCAGAGTTTCCCTTCTGAAACGCCTCGCTTGGACTCCTTTGTTTACTTTTTATTATAGTGACATCACTACGTAACACTCGTGCTTCGATTGGCTAGCGCTCCAACACATTGTACTTGATAAGCTAAGGGGCGGGACATCTCTAAGCTGTTGACCAATCACAACAGAGCCGGCCAGCTAACCAATCAGAGCAGAAAATCCAAAAGAAACCTGAAAATAAGCATTATATGGTCCCTCTAAGAAATTGCTCACAGGCCTGAGAGAAAAGCTAAGACATTATTATATTCCATCATCAAAAGTATACAACTTTTTCCTCATGAAACGGTGTGAGACCTCTTGTTGACTCGATGTTCTTCGTGAGCTGGGTCCTTTTAGAGGAGTATAGTACAGAAATCCTGCAATTTCTCTTTGATTAAAACCTGAACATATTTGCTTGTATTGTACTCAAGGACGGTCCTTTTCAAACAAGGAGAATGAGGACGGTGAAAAAGGAATAGCACTCACTCATTCTGCTTCTCTTTATCAACTCTTTAAAGCGGCTCACCACCTCCGTCTGTGTGGCATTGGTGAATTTGACGTCATTCAAAAGCTTTTCTCAGTTGGAGAGACACACTTTAATTGCTTTTTCATGTTCCTCTTCACAAACCCTATTTACATGTTTTGTTCTTGTCGCATGTTTTTTTTTAATGGTAGGAATACGTAAGCTATTCATACTCTTAATGTTATCAGGACATGGATTATAATGCACCAAGCTATTGACTCTAATAACGGAAAAAGATTAACAATGCGATAGAATCATGTTCAGTTTGTGACCTGGCTACAGTTAATAAAACCATACACCCACGTATTTCACAGACCCGGCTGAACTGTTGTACCTTGTGTCAGCTGTGTGGCCTTGTCACCGGGTTGATAATGGCCCCATTGTCTTCATTATCTTTTAAAGTCAGAGTGTACTCAACTACTCTCTTGCAGACGGCACTGCCAATATTCTGCTGTCCTTGCATCGACGCAAGATAAAGAAAAAGTCATAAAAAATAGATGTTCTCTTTAAAGGGGACCTATCATGCAAAATGCACTTTTGTGGTGGTGCTGTTCTCACTGAATCTGCCCTTGCTAAAACAGATCTAAAAAATGTCAAATTGAGCAAAATGAGGCATGGCTAAAATGCATGATCTGTTTGGTAAGTATAAATATGCCTTATATAGGCATGGTCCTACACTATATTATTCAAATATAGCATGATAGGTCCACTTTAAGTCTACTGACAGCCCTAATTCCCATATTACAAGAGTGTTTGCTACAATAACTGTATATGTATGTATACAAAACCTTGTGGTCATTTGCAAGAAGTAAGAGATACCTGGTCCATACACAACTTTTTTCAATTGATTCCAATGAGAACAGAGCACATGCCGCTGAATGGGGTTGCCTCGTGAAAAAGTGCTACATCCAGCAAAGAAAAGTAGCAGCGTAAAGTATTTCAACTTTTCAGAACAAGCCTGTAGCGTCACTGTAGACATTTGTGAAAAAGCTTGTTTTTGACAGAATGTTTTAGACGGAAACTCTAAAAGACACGGATCGTCCGTCCCACTATAAGGCTTTCAGACGGAGCCATGAAGCCCATTAATACAAAGTGTGAGAGCAAGAACCTTAAGGTTAGATGTGAAAAAAAAACAAAGTGGAAATAGTAGCACAAACGGATAATGCAATCCAAGGCATATGTCATACAACAGCGGTGATTTGTTGTAAAGATATCAACATATATATATATATATATATATATATATATATATAAATAAAATAATGTATTATATTACATTATTGCCTCTGAATTGGGTTATTATCGGATAGGATAATAATTGAGTAATTAACTACGTCTGAAAGCAGAAGTCCAGGGCAAATAATTGCAAGTCTCTTCAGTGCGCATGTCACAAAACGAGATGCATTGTGGGACATGTAGTTTATGGGCAACCTGCTTCTGTAAAGTGGCATGTAACCGTATAATAAACGTATTATATTCTTTGCAAGCTCTTGCAGGGCCACATAAAATGAAGTCGCAGGCCGGATTTGGCCCCCGGGCCTTGAGTTTGAGACCCCTGCTCTTGGGTATATTTTTCGATGAATCACTGAGAGGAGGCTTCTCCCAGTGCCTTTCTGCCAGAAAAATGCACTATTTGGACACAGACCCTTGTACCCTTATACATGTGCCCACTTGAAAATTCATATTGACAAAAATAACTATTTTTTTTAAATGTGATCTTAACCAATGCAGCTGTAAAATCTGTATCGCGCTCTGATCTCTGTCCCTTTTTGCTCCGTCCACCCACAGATCCAGTTTGCGGACCAGAAGCAGGAGTTCACCAAGCGGCCCTCCAAGATCGGCCGGCGCTCCCTGTCCCGCTCCATCTCCCAGTCCTCCACAGACAGCTACAGTTCAGGTAGACACTTCCTGTTGCTCAATCCCAACAGCCCACAACTTATCACACCGCCAGTGGACATGTTTCCATTACGGTTGTTTTTTACGACAACAGAGATAAAGAAAGTGTTTTCCCTTGGAAATCTGTTTGCTTGGCCTGATTGTACTTTCTAGTTGGGGTCAAGTGAGATAGGTAAACAAGGGAAAGTAGGCACTAAAGGCTGAAAATGGAGGAAAACAGCTTCTCTAAAAAGCAACACAATGTTCTACCAGCTGCTCTTACGCCCACAAGTTAAACATTATTCAAGAGTGTTTGTTAATTGGTACAACAACGGATACAAAAATCTTGTTGGGGTTTTAGGGGAAAGTAATACTGGATTATTTCATTACTTCCTGGACTTTTCTCAATAAGGTGTCACTAAAGGACAACAAATAAGAGTGCTGTTTTTCCAAAAATGTCAAACTTTAAAAAAGGCATACCCTTTAGAAAAGTACTGGCTTCGAGAGCGCACTCTAATATTAATAATCCTGTTCTGCACTCAAAGAACATCCAAAATTGAAGCAGATTAAGCAGTGTGTACACATTGCTGATAACTCTGCTTTTAGAGTTCCTGCTGTGTGTCAGGGTCATTTACGTGATCACTTAGTCTGTATTGCCTGGATGGCGTCATGTCCAGTGGCAGAATATAATGGACAAACAGATGGAGGGCAGATGGACAAATGGAGTAGGAAGCTGAAAATATAGTGAGTGTATAATACTCTTGCTGAGAAATGATTAAATATATTGGTCCTGTGACCTCCAACCGGCATGTTTGCTGGACACCAAATGTTTTTTTAGGGTTGGTAATACTTAATGGGGTCAGCTGATTTAAAAAGTACCATGCCATTCTTTCTTTCTTTCAGGAAGTGAAAAATCAGGCTTGAAATGTATTACTCTTTGTTTTCGAGAGAACTGCAGGAACTTATATATTTAATTATATGCTTATAATTATTTCACTAGATATTAAGTTCATTATTGGAGCACTCGGCCTGCATTTATCTGGCTCAACTATTTTTTGCCTTTGCTCAACTCAAGCTATTACCGGCAGCAACTGGACCTTAATTGAAATGCGTCAGTGCTGCCAACATTACGTTTTCTTTCTCAGAAACATGTGCAGCCCTATTATCGCCCCTTTGAACCATCTGTGTTATCCTCTTTCTCTTTTTTTCTCCCACCCTGTCTGCTGATTCCCTTTCTTCTCCCATAATTCCCTCACTGGATTGCCTCTCATTTTTCTGATGGTTCCCACAGTGCAGAGGACACACTGAACACATCAGGAGTACTTTTCCCAGGAACACTTTGGTTTAGATTAAGATTATAAAAGGTTCCTCTTAAGGTTGTGGTTTTGAATGAGAGGATGTGTTTGTGTTAATTTTGTTTTGTGAAAATGTATATTTAAGAATTTTTTATTTGTTACGGTGAAATACTTTAATATGTCATTCATTTTTACCACATTTGTACCCCTTTGTGGCGCCAGAAAGTCTGAAAAAATTGCCTCAAGTGCAGTTTCTTTTAGGACTACAAAATAGAAAATAAGAACAATATGGAAATGTGGTCAGGCACAAAAAAAAACCTGCCACCATTACCCTCAAAATTAAACCAATACCAATGGAGTTCTTGTTTTTTTTGGTCTATTTATTTTGATACCAATCTTGGGGATGGAAGCAGTTAATTGGCGTGTGGCGCAGTGGATAGAGCGTTGGTGTTCGGATCAGGGGAGCACAGGTTCAAACCCCACTGCAGTCAGCATGTCGTTGTGTCCCTGAGACACTTCACCCCAAATTGCTCCTGTGGGGATTGCCCACAGTATTGAGTATGTAAGTCGCTTTGGATAAAAGCGTCTAACAAGTAACATGTAATGTAATTGCGTAAAGTTCAACCACTTCTTCTCCCCATAGCTGCTGCTGTAGTGGGCGCCAATCACACGTAGCTTTGTCACTTGCGGCGATTGGCTAAGAGCAAAACCATTCAAATAGATAAAAGTACAAGAGGACTGAATGCAGGTTTACATTAGTTTAACAGGAGAACTTGTATTACTCTTTGAACTGGCTCGGTTTTGGACGAATGCCCAGAAAGAAAAGAGAAATCTGACTTTTTCTGTTTGGCCCTTTATCTGACATTGTTGAAGGGTACAATTCCTCACAATGGATTGCTATTTTTAATGCACACCAAGTTACATTTGAACAGTGAATCTAAAATAACAGTTATAGTTCTGGCTGGTAGATTGGAAGATATCAAGTAGTGTTGTAGTAGTATATTCTCCTCCAAGACTTTATCTTTACCAGCTCGGTGTCTGTGGCTTTGTGCCAGACACTATCTTTTGCAGTATCACTGCATCCACCCTCATGACCCCCAAGATCTCCTCCCCCCACCCCCCCCTCCCACCTCCACCCTTTCTTCCTGTCAGTACGGATGGGGGGTTTCAAAAGAAAATGGTAGACTCATGGATTATTACTTTAAAGCCCTTTTCCTTTCTGGCACAGTACAGCATGTTCTCTAACTGCAGTATTGTTAAAGTGCTGGCAAGGTACCAAGTGTTTTCTGCTACTGATCCATCCATGGTCATTTTGCATGGTGGTCATGTGCTGCTGTGACATGCTTCCTTTTAGTGTTGAAGCACATTTGTACCATCTTTACATTCTACTGCAGTCTTATATTGGAAAGAGACTGGGGTTTTTGCAGAGGGGTTTTACACACGGCTTCAGAATCAATTAAACTCTGTGCTGGGCAGAATAAATCTGTGGCCTACCGAAGTCAAATTGCAGGCTTGAGGAAAAATACAGGCTTTATTCACAGTGAAGAAACCATTGTGTTTGTTTCTGCAATTTGAAACCTTAAAGCTCTGAATTTCCTTGCTGTTGAAAAGACATAAAAACAAATCTGCAAGATATTCAAGGAGCTTTACTTGGAAATAAAGTCGAGATATAAACACATGGCAGTATCAAAACACACATACATAGGCTTTAAAGGGATTAAAACAGAAGATTAAAGTAAGATATGGCCGTGACCGTGGGCTGAATGTAATGCCCGCATTAACCAGCGCTTCCGTTTTTATCAGTGCATCCCAAAAGAGACGAGGAGAGTGAAGGGAAGAGGATTTATGAGACTGATCCATAAGCCGGTTGTAAACACGCTGACATTGAAGCTGTGATGTTTTGTCTTAGTGGCGCCAAGTGCTGTGTGTCATCATCAGGCCAATGGGTGTCGCGAAGATAACTAAAAAGGGTCCATCGGTACTTTAACTGGCCTGAAATAATGCCTGCGCTTAAAGGTACCAATGTAATCGATCCTTTTTAAGACTGCAGGTATTGCTGAGTCATGGCTTGAGAACACTTAGTCGGCTGAACCTGCTGATTCCTCTGTTGACCGTTGGCTGTGATCCTTACGGTTAAACAGTTCAATACAATCCTTGTAAGCTAGGGGTTACCAATGCATAAACATAGGCCATAGTAGAAGTGTCACGGAGGTCAGAAGATTTCACCACTGGAAATATCCTTGTCTTGAGTTCAAACACAACAGTATGTGCACTTTGTTGATTCTGAAAGCTTAGTGCATTCCTGGGAACAAATATCTCCACTAATGTCACATGTCCACTACATTGTACTCCACTGTACACAACTTACTCTTTTTGTGTTTTCCATTAGCAAAGTTGTGGGTAGTACCTGGTTTTTATAACGCCTTAGAAGGTGGAGCAGTGGCACTGATTGGTCCAAGAGAGAAGGGTTACTTGCCTTTAATTTTAAATAAACAAGCTACCATCAAAGGCTACTGCATTTTTCTTTTTTCTCTCAACCCAGATTATTAACAAAATCTAGAAAAAAACCTCTAACCCACAGTGAGTCAAGTCGAGCAGAACCATTAAGTAGAAATAGAGCAGACGTTTCAGTTTGGCTCACGTTATTGTGTTGTGAGCAGATGGCAGTTAGAAGTAAATAATGGCATCTTCACAAAGTCTCTATAGGAAACCTCCTTAAATGTGTTTGAGATAAGTAGAAATGAAACCATTTGATGACGAACCAAACGATTATATTTTGGTTTTATGAGTCAATTCGATACAAGCACATTTTCTACCTATTTTACGTGTGTCACATACTGACAGTTCTGTTGTTTTTATGCACGTTTATTTTTTAGCGGCGTCGTACACGGACAGCTCTGACGATGAGACGTCTCCCCGGGACAAACAGCAGAAGAACTCCAAGGGCAACGGAGACTTCTGCATCAAAAACATCAAACAGGCCGACTTCGGACGCAGAGAGATCGAGATTGCAGAGCAAGGTAAACCAAACAACCGGCAGTGATTACTTCATCAAATAACCAAGTTCCCTTTCAAATCCTATTTGTAACATCAGTAATACAAACATATGGCTGTGTAAATATGAGACTGGCAAGTGAGAACACTCTTTAAAAACCAACGTGTAAACACCGTTTATACATATCATTGCCTAATGACTTCACAGAACATGCAGCTGAACCCTGCAGGCTACGTTCTCTCACACAGACAGACAGACAGACAGACACACAGACAGACACAGACAGACACACAGACACACAGACACACAGACAGACACACAGACAGACAGACAGACACACAGACACACAGACACACACAGACACACACAGACAGACACACAGACACACAGACACACAGACACACAGACACACAGACACACACACACACAGACACACACACAGACAGACACACAGACACACACACAGACAGACACACAGACACACAGACACACAGACACACAGACACACACACAGACAGACAGGCAGACACACAGACACACACACAGACAGACAGGCAGACACACAGCATCCGTAACTCCTTCAGCTGGATTAGTCGATGGATTAGCGATGAAGTATCAGAAGGATTCAACGTTTGGGATTCCTCAAACATCCAGCTGATTATCCGCTCCCTCGTGTGTCTTTCAGAGATGCCGGCCCTGATGGCTCTGAGGAAGCGAGCCCAGGGGGAGAAGCCCCTCGCTGGAGCCAAGGTGGTGGGATGCACCCACATCACTGCCCAGACTGCTGTAAGTGGGAATGCAAAACACACACACACCTTTTTAAAGGTCACCTATTATGCAAAATCCACTTGTTCATGTCTTTTCTACATCAACGTGTGTCCCCTCTGTGTAAAGAGATTCTGGAAGCTTCAGGAACAAAGATGCGCTCTCTTTTTGTCCTGATCCATTTATATAAAAACCTGTCTGAAAATGAGCTGATCAGATTTTGGCCACTTTATGATGTCATAACGATGTTTTGGCTTGAGTAACTATTAGCCTATCACCAACCAAGGTAACCCCCCCCCCACCTTATCACCTGAATCTCCTCCTAGAGCACCATTGTGTTCTTTTTAACCAAATATCTCTCAGAGGGGCGTGGGGAGGGGCTCCTTATTTTCATCTGAAGTAACAGACAGAGAATCAGCACTTTTGAAACAGGGCTGAAACAGAGGGGATTATGGGATGCTACAATGATCTGTTTGGTGTTTGGAGCCAAACCTTTCAGAGACATGTTTTGTATATATCTGAGACCTATAATATATTGATGAAAAATAGTATAATAGGGGACCTTCAGCATACGATGGTTTTACTGCAGCAGTTATGACAAACTCCCCTCCTCCTCAGGTGCTGATGGAGACCCTCTCAGCTCTGGGGGCTCAGTGTCGATGGGCCGCCTGCAACATCTACTCCACCCAGAATGAAGTGGCAGCTGCTCTGGCAGAAGGAGGTGAGACTGGGAGTTTATCGGTGTGTGTATGTGTGTGACCAAATCCTTTTCTGCTCTTCTCTGTATATATAATATATATAAAATACTTCCTGTCTCGATTCTAGGTTTCAGTGTGTTTGCATGGAAGGGTGAGTCAGAGGACGACTTCTGGTGGTGCATCGATCGCTGTGTCAACGTGGAAGGCTGGCAACCCAACATGGTAGCACACCTACACTCTAAATAAAGCCTAGTTTACGCATATTTTACAAGAATATCTAAACAAATTGTTTTGTTAACCTACAATCCCTGTTGGAGGTGCTTCTATTTTTACCACAGTACTAGATCTAGATTTGAGAAAGGACACTCTATTTAAAAATGTGTTAACTTACCTTATTTGCAGGGTCAGTTAACCATTTTTTTAATGTGTTAATTGTGTTTCTCTCTCTGTCAGATCCTGGATGACGGTGGAGACCTGACTCACTGGATCTATAAAAAATACCCCAACATGTTCAAGAAGATAAAAGGCATTGTAGAGGAGAGTGTTACCGGTGTGCACAGGTGGGACACAACACATGCACACATCCTTCATTATCTTAAGCAAAGTTTTCAAAAGATATATTACTTCTTGACCCAGATAAAACCAGTCCGCTCTAGTTTAATTGGGAGAATGTACACGTATAGCTTTTACAAAACTGACAGCTTATAGACACGCACAGTTTCTGGTGTACCATCGCCATCTAGTGGTGAAAATGTTAACATTAATAACTATTTATTTATGCAGCTCCTTTTATACAAACATGCAGCCAAAAGGGTTGACATAAAATAACAAAAAAACAAGAATATAAAATTATGAATTAACAATGTGAATAAATAGAAATGAAATTGCTGATTAAAACTTAAAAACTAAGGCTATATCACTCTAAATATAGCCAGATAAAAAGGTAGGTCTTTAATCATCTTTAAATAAAAGACTGTTTGAACAATGGTCAATTGAATATCCAGAGGCTGTGAATTCTACAGACGCTTAGAGAAATCTGTGATTAAAACATTTGCAGTATTTGCAGAGCCTAAGGCAAAAAAAGGATATGTTACGTTTATATTATTAAAAAAATAGAGGCAATCATTTCCAAAATCCACATGTTTTATTTAAAGGTCCCATGTCATGGCCATTTCTACTGATCATAATTCCATTGTTGAGGTCTACTAGAATACATTTATATTGTGCAATTTTCCAAACTCACATTGGTTTCTCATACAGCATCTCTGTATAGTATGTGTATTCACTCTCTGTCCTAAACGGCTTGTTGGAGCTCCTGCCCCCCCCTCCCTATGAGCCCAGTGGCCGTCTGCGAGACAGCGAGACACAGCGAAACCCAGCCCGAACACACACAAGTGTGTGTGAGGAAGTCCACAGATTGGTCCATTTCGACCAATCCACGGACTTAACCTAACGGCTCCGCGGACGTAACGGCTCCACGGATTGGTCCATTTGGACCAATGGGTCCATTTGGGTATGGGCACGTCACTGTACCCAGGAAGAAAAAGAGAAATCTCCAACGAGGCGTTCTGGGGCAGCATAGACAGGTCTTTTCTGTGTTAGAGTTTTACTCCCTACAGGGTGTACTTTGAGGGTTTGTGACTTTGCAGACCGTTTACATGCAGAAAAACCTTCATAACACACAAGGGGACGGGTAATAACCAGATGTCATGGGACCTTTAACAATATATTCTGCTTCAGGTTGTATTTGTCAGGCATTTGCCTTTCTAAAAATGAATGGAAAATAATTGTTTTATATTTAGTTTAGTCATTATTTAGTCTGTCCTTAAGGTAAATGTATGACTAGCGATTGAAGCGGCATTGTCAACACTAAACATAAAACAATTATTATTATTGCATAGCTTGAGTTATTTACATTTATATTTGTTGTGTGTGTGTAGGTTGTACCAGCTGTCCAAGGCGGGGAAGCTGTGTGTTCCAGCCATGAACGTCAACGACTCGGTGACCAAGCAGAAGTTTGACAACCTGTACTGCTGCAGGGAGTCCATCCTCGACGGGTATGAAACGTATATTAAAACAGAATATTTGATAGTTTTAGAGTATTCAATGTGGCGGGGCAGACCCACTCTGTTCCATACTGTCTGAATATGTATCAGTCGGCCAGAGAAATAATGGTGTTTCTGTCCTCAGCCTGAAGAGGACCACTGATGTCATGTTTGGAGGCAAACAGGTGGTGGTGTGTGGATACGGAGAGGTAAGGCGGACATTTTCATACAGGCCTGTTCACTGAGACACCTACATCTTACACTTCTATTCTGAAATACTATTATGACTGGAATAATAAGTTAGGTAGAGTACATCCACTTTTGAAATGGAGAGATTTAGAGCTAGAAGATCAGTTTCCCCTTTTTGTTTGGCACCAAAGCAAGTAAGGACAGGGAATTAAGTATGCAACGGTTTGTTTTTTTAAACTGCTTTTTTCATATAAATTGTGACAGGTCCTTAAAGAGCTTTGTATAGAAAATCCTCACCATCTATACAGCATTGGCTAGCTTCTGTTAAAACTAATTTATTCTGTTTTGCTGAATGTTTCATTATAAAAGACTACCAGACTGGAAAACTGTTGAATAATTCATGTAGTTTGGAGACAAAAAAATGATATTGTGTTTATAAAGAAGGGTGAAAACAACAAAAAAAACTTTTATTCGGGACATCCAGTTTGGGTTTCTACATTCAACATCTACTAGTATTCAAAATAAAATACTAATTTGGAGTAGTGAGTTTATCTGCTTCTGTGAAAGAATCACCCAAGTTACATTTGACGACATGTAAGGAAATGTGGGATTATGTGGATGCATGCATTTTCCCGGAAGTGACCTTTTTGTTTAAATTTTCTACGTTTTTTAAACCTCAAAATTAAAAATAACAATCTGAAAATGTTGAACATTCTTTAATGAGTTGTTAACTGCACAGGCTCTCAATGAAACACCACCTGCTTTAACAGATGGACTAATGCTTGAAACATACTGCTGTCTCACTACTGTATAATATAATCTCATGTCGTTCACTCCCAGGTGGGAAAAGGCTGCTGCGCTGCCCTCAAAGCCATGGGCTCCATCGTGTACGTCACAGAGATCGACCCCATCTGTGCCTTGCAGGCGTGGTAGGACTCCACTCGTTTCACTTCCTATGCACCACTGCTGTGTTTCATTAGCCTCACACCTTTTTATCTCCCAATCACAGCATGGACGGCTTCAGGCTGGTGAAGCTGAATGAAGTCATCAGACAAGTGGACATCGTCATCACCTGCACAGGTCAGCCTCATCCGTCGCTCTCTGTGTGAGGAACATGCCGTTCTCTCAGTGTTTCTTCAGGATGACCGCGCAGATTCTCAGTCTTTGTCGGCTGTGTCTAACAGTCACTAATCAAGTTCTCAGATCAGCAGCCAGGGAGTTGCACTTAATTAGAGCGGAGAATTACTTGCCTCTCTGCGTCATTACTTAATGTTTCGCTGGCAGGCCTGCAGCAGTGGAGCTCTCTCACAGGGTGACTGCAATATGACAGATAAGAGGTAGAAGAAGCTGCATGGGATTCATGTCAGATTTTCCCTTTTTAGTTAGAAAGTGGTGTAAATAAATAAACCAGTATAGGCTTTAGCTCCATTAAGCTTGTCGGTTTCTTGCAAATTATGAATGATTGTTAAGTGAAATACAGGGATAAGCTATTATCAGTAAGAATAATGAAGGCCGTTTCTCAATGTCGAGGAGGCTTGCTTGGTAGCACATGTATGCTGGGCATTTAAACAGTGACTCTGCGCCACTCGATGACGTAGTATGCTTGAAATAGTGGCTCTGGAGCAGCTCTACTCGACATTGAGAAACGGCCACTGACTAAATGTATCCTATCCTATCCTTTTCAGCTGAGTTCATCCTTCATCATATTTCCAACCGAAAATGTAACTTATACATATATCATTTGGTTTAACATTTCCATACTAATTTAACAATGCTAAATTGTTAAATTTAAAGCAATAAAACCAAGTTTTACAGAAATGGATATAGACTCATTCCCCTATATATTTATTTTAACCTTATTGAAGACTGTTTGAAAAGTCATTTGACAAAACTCTGTCAATTTCACCTTTTTGCTTTCTCCCTATTTTAATCTCTCGTTTTGCTTGTGTGCTCTAATCTGTTCCTGACCATCTCTCCTCCTCCTCCATCATCTCTCCTCCTCCATCAGGCAATAAGAACGTGGTGGTGAGAGAGTACCTGGACCGCATGAAGAACGGCTGCATCGTCTGCAACATGGGACACTCCAACACTGAGATCGATGTGGTCAGTTAGCATCCAGTAATACCTTGTCAAGAAACCAAAACCATAGTGAATAAAACAAACCACCTGACATGATGACAATGTCACAGTAACTGGCAGATTAGCTTGAGTTTGATGTAAGATGATTCATTTGTGGTCAGAATTAGGCTAGTCTTTAAAAAGGACAAGGATGATTTAACTAAGCTTACTTTACTGCTACCTTTTTACCACCTTTTTACTACTTGATCCCACTGTGTAATGCTGTTGTTAGATCAGCTTGGTTCTCATTAGTACATTAAGCTTTTTACTCATGTGCTCATGCAGAGTGTCTTACAATTAGTGAGCAGAGATGATTCTCCTAAACATAAAACGGTGAGACAGCAGTGCTAGGAATAGAACAAAATGAAATCAATGTATTTTCTTAAGAAGACTGCAATCGAGGAATAGTTCAGACACTAAAGAGAGGTGGGACTCACTTATTACAGTAATTAAATCCTGGAAAAGACCAAACATACTAGTACACTTCTGGTCTGTTGTTATGATGGCTGCACATGTGGAACAAATTATTATTTTGACAGATATTGCAACTGTGAACGTTAAAGCAAGGACACATGTCACAGTAGAGACACAAAATACTAATATGAGCCTGAACATGAGCAGAATAGCATGTCCTCTTTAATAAATTGATTTCTGCGTTTTGAAAAATTCACTAGAACATATTGCAATTTTGATTTTGATGAATTGTGCTGCTGTAATACATGTGTAACAGCTCAGCTCAACAGAAATAAGAAGTGGTAGACGAGAAAAAAAGATCACCAGAAACAAATGATTGTTTATCTGCTCTTCTTGTAGGCGAGCCTGCGGACTCCTGAGCTGACCTGGGAGAGAGTGCGCTCTCAGGTCGACCACGTCATCTGGCCTGATGGCAAGAGGATAGTGCTGCTGGCTGAGGTACGCACACGCACACGCACACCAGACACACGCACACCAGACACACACAGGCACTTACTCAGAACACATCAGAATACAAGCTTTAAAATACCCAGCTGGGGCTTGAGACTGTTATTTATTTGAGATTTTGTAAACAAATTAGAAAAGAACAAGGGATTATACTTACAGAAACAACACTGCAGATGCACATTGCAGGTTAAGAATAGGCGTGTGTTTGACTCACACTGACAGAATGAGAGCAGTCTGTCTATCGATGGCTGTGTCTCTGCAGCTGTTTGATCTCCAGCAGGTGTTAACCGCATCACGAGATCCTCCACACTCACCTCTCCTGCCGCCATCATCTTTCCCTGTTCCAAAATAGACCTGTGTGTCAAATGTGTTTTATTTAAAGAACTTATACATCATCTTAACGTCATCATTTAGTGCCGCTGAAATAGTGACTTTTCGATAGCTGGTTTTTAAAATAAGAGCTTATGCCTACTTTGTTTTGTAACTTTGTTTTACAATGTAATACTTTACAATCATACATTTTCCTTCCCCTACACAGGGTCGTCTGCTGAACCTCAGCTGTTCCACTGTGCCCACCTTTGTTCTCTCCATCACCGCCACCACCCAGGTAAAACAATACCTTTTTACATAAGTTGACATGATTAGTTTTGTATTTCAGATTTATAAAGATGTCGGCAAAAGTGTGTTTGTAACTAACGCTTGTGTGTCTCCGCCCAGGCGCTGGCTCTGATAGAGCTTTACAACGCCCCAGAGGGACGCTACAAACAGGATGTTTACCTGCTGCCCAAGAAGATGGGTAAGACTATTTGCCAGTCCAGAATTTGCTAAGGAATTAATCAGACTTCTGTATACAAAAATACTTCAAACACGCAGCAAGATATCACGCCAGCAAGATCTAAAATACCCCGTTTGGTACTTAAGTAGCCACCAAGCAGGAAGTCATTCCAGGGAGGTTGTTTCTTCCCCAGCAGAGAGCCTGCAGGCACACTGCGTTTATCTCTATAGACAACACAGTCAGTCTCATCTGTTCAGTCTGTGGATAGCTTATCAGTCACAGTAGAACGAGTCTGTGTGTGTGTGCAGCATGTCTGCAGCGCTGCCCGTCACTTCTCTTAGTGTCCACTCTGTGACTTAAAGCAGAGTGCACACACAGTAAATAAAAACAGAGAGACAAATGTAGGTCAGTGTGGGCTGCTGCTACCACAGCACACACTGATGATTGACGCGAGGAAAGGAAGGAAGTATGAGGAGAAGCAAGATAGTAGACAGTGCAAGAGAAATTAGATGGTACATCGGAGAGCTTCCCTCATTGGAATGATGGATCAGCCACAGTTGCCTGGTCTGGTTAACATGTTTCTTTTCTCTTTTGCCCTGCAGATGAGTATGTGGCCAGCCTACATCTCCCCACGTTCGACGCACATCTCACAGAGCTGAGTGACGAGCAGGCCAAGTACCTGGGCTTGAACAAGAACGGGCCCTTCAAGCCAAACTACTATAGGTAAGGAAACACTTCAACACTTGACAACAATCTTATTTTGAAAGGACTTTAGGTGCTATATACAACGGTTTTAAGAAGCATTGTATGTTATATAAAAGTAAAAAAAAAAATTGAAACCAAAAATGTGTAAATATATCTCCGATATTTGAATAGGTAACATTGCAAGATGAAACTCAGAAATGTAGTTAAATTATTACGAAAATATCATTGAAAATAGTGTACTCATATTTAATAACATCTATTTTCTAAAATCAATTAAAAGTTTGCTCTCAAATATTTATGACTTAAATCTTGAGAGAAATCAGATTTTTTTTCTCAGATTATTAACCGCTACCCTTGCTCCGTAATTTAATAATTTTGTACCTACTTTGTGCCGAGATTCAAGAGGTCAAGGTCAAGATAAAATCCTTTAAAGGAAGAGACCGTAACTCGTCAATCCTGCATGTACAGTGCTTGGATACATGTTCACCTCTTATATTTAAGTCAACTATCATCCTAACGTTTGTGCTTTCTGTTTTTCTCCCACAGGTATTAAACCAGTGTCGGCGTTTGACTGAAGAAATACAAATACTCCATGATTGGCACAGACTCAAAGAGGGGGAGGAGGAGGAAGACAGAAGGAAGGACAGTCAACACACCTGCTTTATGTTATGGGGGGGAGGTTGGGGAGGAGCTCTGACTGAGAGGGGGCGGGGCTTATCTTGCGCTTATGGCAGCCGTTTTATTTATTCACGCTCGACAACAATAATGATAACTCTAAATCTGTGGAGCTGCTCCTGCCATTAGCCGTTAGCTAGCTCCGCGACGTCTTCTTCCGGAAGATGTTTTACTTCCTTTTTCACCACAATTATCTCTTTCTCTTTAATCACTCATTTGTATGTCGACTTGTATGTAAATCCTCCTTCCCATTGCCAGATCTTTTATTGTTTAACTATTAAAGATGAAATTATTGATGCTAAAAAGATATATACTATATATAAAAAAAAAAAAAAAAAATTGATTTAAGAAAAGAAATCTGTGTGAATGAAGGCCGTTGAAGATTCAGTGACGGACACTTTTTTTCCTGTCCTATTTTTGTTGTCTGTTCTTTTCTACCTGTGATTTTGTTTTTCTCTTGTGTAACATTGAGAGGGCGGGGTTTAGACCTAGTGGGCGTGGATTAGGTGGGATCTCAGGGTCCAATCATATCATGACTTTTATTTGATCATTCTCATTGAGATTCACCGTTGTGTCTGTTTTTAAACATTTTTGTATGCGTGCTGTCCTGTCCGATCAGCCTGTAGTTGTCAGAACTTTTGTCTTAGTACGACTGGACGGGGTCTTCCCACCTGTCACTCAAAGCCACAGTGAAAACATCTCATTGGCTGCTTCTTTCTCGGCTTCCAGCTGCTCACACAGCACCTGTGTTGAAGTATTTCCAGCTTGTGAGAGATAAACCTTTTCATTTAGCCTCTTCCTTTACCAAGAATGACTATACTGTATTAGAAGCATGGCAGGTTGTCAGACCATTACATACTGTATATTTAGATATTTATATTGAAACATTTTCTATCCTTTTCTCTCCTGCGCCACCTCATATCATTACTTTTGGAAAGGAATCATCATATGTCGTAAAGATAAGCAATTAAGTGTTCTGATGATAAGTGTAATAAATGTATTTAAGCCCTCACTTTGAATACTGTGACAGAAAATATTTAAAGAGAAACCAAATGAGCAGCAAGTTGCTGCCTGGCCGGTACTCAAACAGATCTTCAATCAGGTCCTCAAAGAAAAAATATGTTTGTTTTTTTATAGTATTTACCATACACACCACAACTCTTTGGTACTCACCGAAAAAGTTCAGTTTAAAAAGTAAGATCTGGGAAATATTCTCTTTTCATCCAAGAAGCACATTTACCCTTGCTGTATATCATGTGCATTTGCCTGTAAACGGTTATTTCCCCCTTTTCTTTCGAGTTCTCAAAACTCGGCTTGCTAGCCTTGAAATATTTAATTTCTTCTTCCCCTCCTGAAAGACTTAGATTCTCTCCAGCTGACCTGACGGTGCAAATTAGAAAGTCCTGACAGTCATTTCAGCTGACAGCTCCCCGCCCGCCGCAATACTGGCTCTGCACCTGAACCCATCAGGTCCTCTGCTAACCTGCTGAGAGACGCTGCCACCATTACTCTCACAGAGAGGGATCACATGCTTAAACACACATACAGTAGCTCATTATCCAGGTCTTTGATCATTTTACACACTTTGAATAAGAGGAAATAGCACAACAAGGTTTTTTAATTAACAGTTTAGCTCATTCAGACTAAGAATATGCACAATTAATAAAATGTAATTGCTGTGTAACACTGACTAGTATCTTTACAAACTATTTAACATCAACCAAAGTCTTTGAAGGAATATTTTGGCATTTTTTTTAAATATTTGTATTTGCTTTTGTGCAGAGTTGAGAAAATGTATAGCGCTCATGTTAAATATGTTACTGTAGCCAGCAGCCACTTAGCTAATGTTAACATGAAGGTTAAAGAGCAACAATGTCCGACTACAAGCGCCTCATAAGTGTGTGAGCTTTCAAGGTGCTTGTATCTAGATTTTGTTAACTTTGGACAAAGCCACGCTAGCTGTTTTCCATCATTTCCCATCTTCGGCTAGCCACAGCTACAATTTTGGCATACAGATATGGGTAGGATTGATCTTATTATGCAAGTCTCAACAAGAAAGTCAATAACAGTATTTCCCAAATGTCAAGCTATTCCTAATTAATTTGGCAAACGTATATACATTAATAGGCGCGTAGTAACCTAGCGTACGCCCCAAGGTCCTACACTGTCACAGCAGACAACCTCATTATCACAATGTCTGTGCATTAATGTCTCCTTGTGCAGTTGAGAATCCCTTCTTATAGTAGTGCGACCTGTGCTCTTAAACCTGTTGTCTTACTTTCCCTTTTGTAAGTGTGAATGTGTGATTAAGAGTATAACATCTGGAGAGAAAGCTGAGGTGATTATAGAAGATGACGTGTGTGTCTTAATGTCTTTCTGTGTTTGAACACATTTTTTTGTCGTCCACAATTGCTTTTCGTTAACAGCTGCCTCAGGATCCTAGCCTGTGCGTTATGGGGAGAAAGCATTTTTTTGTTTTGTCGTACGGGTGGGCGGGGGAAGACACCAGCATCGTATCTGTATATAAACACTATACAGATATGACAACCTTTAAAAGTATAGGAAGGTAAAAGAAGAATCCACTCCTGTATTTATTGTTGTAAATCCTAATACAGTGCAAACTGGCAAATTCTCAAACATGTTTTAAGTTGTTGAATAAATTAAAAAAAAACCTATGTTTAAATATTGCAAGTGATAATGGTAGATGATGAGCAATAATTTAAAACATTCTGTAATCTTACTGAATAAAGATGTTAAAAAAAACTGTAACCTCTTTGTGCGCATCTCCTTGATTCGACTGGTATCAACACATAATCACCCACTTATGTAGGTGTTTGTGTTTCTTTGCAGTCTGATTTCTCAGTATAGTGTTCATGTGTGTTGGGGGAAGGGGTGCAGCTGCTGAGGTCTGTCCGAGGCACAGTGATGTCATCTGAGCCAGGAGCCAACACACAGGGACGTCTCTGACATCAACAGCTGGCTGTGAGCCTTTTATTTATTCTTGACACACAAATCAACACAACAAAATCAGCCCATTGTGCCCTGAAAGTGAAATGTTTATAACATATAGGAAGAAATGTCAAAGATCTGTCACACCGTTAGAATGAAAAGTGAGTTTTTATTATACTTAAGTATTTTGGCTCGGGACTTTATACAACGGTTTTAAAAAGCATTGTATGTTATATAAAATGTAAAAAAATGAAATATGTATTACCTAAATCTTGAGATTCTCAGATTATTACTCTACCCTTTCTCCATACTTTAATTATTGTTTACCTACTATGTGCTGACATGGGTTCAAGATGGGTTTTTATCTTCAAAAGGGACTTTTACTCTACATGTGACTGTATGAAAGGAGAAATACTTAATATATATAATGACATTGCGGTACTGTATCTTAGATTATATAACAAACATTTAAGTATGAACTCATCAAGTTCAATGTCAAATAAATATATACCTTTGCATTGTAAAAAAAATAATGAAAGGTGAAATTTAATAAAATGTTTGATTTTATTGTTATGGGAATCCATGTCCAAGCTGCAGAGTTCTCAGTACAACATCATTTTAAATGTGCCATGTCAATTGTTTTTTTCGTAGTGCTCTATCAGTTTAAGTTTTAGAAATAACCCTGATGTCATCAAGGTGATTTCAGCTTTGGCTTGGAGACTATAAATGTAAAATAAGCAGCATCCTCTAACCACAGGTAAAACCATCTGACAACTTCTAGAAACACAACCTTTCTCTCTCATTGGATTGCACTTTCAAATTATTAAACTGATTCAACCAGCAACTGTGCAATCTAATCATGTCATCATAAGTGGTTCTTCACTGTCAGGGGTTTGTGTGTTGGTAGACATTTTTTCCATTATACACACACAAACCCCCACCTCAACATATCAATAATTCACTTGCTGCCCTGAAGGGAGGGTGCGGGGGCCTCCACCTCCATCTTACATTTCACATAAATAAATAGACAGACTGATGTGGACCCCTGACAGCAGATTGTATTGCTCAACATTTTATTACCAAGGAGAAAGCTTGTTTCATGTTGATTCAGTTTGACACAACTGGTGGGGAACTTCATCCATCATCCAAAGCTGGTACATTGTGGTTTTTCATATTTTTCGACAGGCATCTGTAGTCCCATCTGTAGATGTACTAAATCATCGGGTTAATGTATTAAGCTCCCAGCTAAATTGAATAAAGAAACAATGCCTTTTTTGTAGATAGATACCCTAATTGTATGTAGCCTAAGGTCAGTGACAAGGTTTATTATGTGCCTTTGTGACCGTGCAATTAATGTTTTTAATTTTAGACTGTTTTCTGAAATGTTTTAGACACGTGTGTGCATTACTGTCATTCTCTGTAGGCCTAGGTTTTGTGAGTTTACAAATCTTTTTTTGCGTTTGTGGAAGGTGTTTCACATTTACAGATTACACATTTACACGGAATATATTTCTGTTCACTCAAATAATATTGAGACAAATCTACCTCCATACATCAAGCATTGGCTCTTTAGTGCACTGCCTCTGTGTAAACACCACCTAGTTTTACTTTCGCGTGGTCCCCTCTGATGTTAAATCTCTAACCCCGCCTTCTCCGGGCGCCCAGGGACAGTAAACCAAACAGACAGGAGGAGGAGGAGGAGGAGGAGGAGACCCTCAACTTGAGCTCAGGAGCCGGTGCTCCAACGGTGCAGTGAGTCTCAGCTCTCCACCGGACCGGTATGCACTATCCGCCGGAGAGGAAGTGATCCACGGTGACCGAGAAACATGCAGGCGGAGGACATGGAGGTACCTATCATAAATATCCTTAATGATAACGGCGACCGACAGAGGCCGAAAGGGAAAGATGTGTTCAAGGATCTGCAGAAGGAGTCGGAGGTAAATTGGAGGGGTGTTTGGGTACGGTCGGATACTACTGCATATGGTATAGGAGTGTGTGTGTGTGCGTGCGTGTTGTTGCTGGGGAGCTTTCACATGTCCTTTTCCATGCAGAGACTCGGTCTCTTGGCTGGGGAGCACGCAGACAGGCAGACAGCGAGGTGTTATTTTGGACCCGGCTCCTATAAATAACCCAGCAGTAATCCTACTGTGGAAGTCAACGTGGAGAATGCAGGTGGAGGAATGTCAGGACCACACCACCACTACCAAACGTATCTTATTATTAGAGTCATGTTGTGGGAATTAGTCCATGCATTATACTATCTGTATTCTCCATAGTTGACATTGACTTCTGTCCTTTAATTCATTGCTTTGTTGACATTTTGATAGTCTACTATAAAAGCTAATAGACAATGGTAAACATTTAGCAGGTTTCGACTTCAGATAGGCAATATAATAGTCACTTAATGTCATTATAAAGAGGTTTGCTGGTCAAATGTAATACTTGACTTTGGCCTCTGATAAGGCGATGGACTTATATTTGAAAGATACTTGATTGTAGGTGAGTCACTATCAATTATTTTCAATATTGTTTAATCTGCAAACTATTTTCTTCATTCATCAATTGTTTGTTTTGTCCATAACAAGAGGGAAAAGGTGATTTTCTCAGATCTTTACGCGTCTTATTCACATTGCTTGTTTTCTTAGACTAGCTGTCAAACACCAGAAAAGATCCACCTTAATATCTTATAAACAGAAGCAGCAAATCCTTCCATTTGAGATCTTGCAACCATCAGTTGTTGGAATTTCCCGTTGGAAAAATGACCAAAACGCTCAAATTGAGATTTCCTTTTCAGCGGCTGAGTCATACCAGTTTACAAACCAACTTGATGTGATTTCAACAGTGTTTCGAGCCAGCTTCTAAAAATACGTACCAGTAAATCTTCTCTGCTTCTCTAAACATGAAAGCAGCATGGCTCAGTCTGATGATGCCTCTTTTTCCTGCAGCTATAATTCATTCCCTCGTAAAAAAATTAGAAGATGTGTTTTCATTCCTGGGTTTCTCAGCCCAGATACACCAGAGGAGCTAAGCAGTCAAAGCTGTCGTCCAGGCCAAAAAATCCAGTCACCCCTGACGTCTGTGTGTGTTTGTGTGTGTGTGTGTGTGTCGTTTGAGCACATTGAATGGTTTGAGGGGAATTAGAGCATATTCATCTGACAGCCGTTGCATTCTGGGAGGGAGGGGTTTGGTGATGGTGTGTTTGGGGGGTGAATGACATGGATGTTGAAAGCACTTAACGTCAACGTTGTGTTGACGCTGATACTCTCTGGCCACTGCACCCTGTCAGTTAACTTGACCTTAAATCTGATTCATCCATGTATATAAATTGTCCATCATGTGTGCTGGGTAGAGGACTCGTCTATGTGGCATATGTTGCTGTGAGTGGGGGTGGCCTGCCTTGACATGGTGCCCAGTTTTTTCACATGATGTGGTGTAGGAGCACAGGAGCAGTGCCAGTTTGGAGCTTTGGTTATCAGCTGGCGGCAGAGAGGGGAGACTGGGGAAGGGCAATAATAGGGAGACAGGGTGAGAAAAAGGAGAAGTAGAAACTCAGGCATTTTCTTTCCTGTGTATATGGGAAAAATAAATGCATATCAATCGGCTTTGGACAAAACGGTCACTTCACTTTCATTGACAAGCCTGTGTGGCCATACCAGATGGATGGTGGTTGAGGCCACTTGTTTAATTAAACGTTTAAAGTAATAGTAGTAGAAGACGATAATCTGTTTAAGGCAAGACACTACAGGAAAAATAAGCCATAGTATAGACTGAATAACTTCATAAATAAAACATAATCAGCCGTATTATTTGACAGACTATGATTTAAGCAATGAGGTGCTTCATATCAAGGTTAAATGGGCCTTCTAATAGAGCTTGTTCTTAATTGGCATTGGTTGCATGGCATCAGAAGGTTTTATGTTAAATAATTAATTCTCATCGTATTATAAGGTACTAAATAAATAATTATGACAGCTATTAATGATACTGCTGTCCTTTTAATGGCCTCTTGCCACTGGGTGAATATTAATCAAGTATATACATATGCCAGAAACAACATACTGGTGATATTTATTAACATCATAATTACATTTTCAAATGACATTATGGTGCTTTAACTGCAAGGCAACGCTATACGCCAAAGATGAAGTAGGCCTCCAAAAAATGCCACTTCAGTTGTTTTCTTGGTGATTTTTATTTTATTTACAACTGGTTGTAACAAGTGAGGCAGCACCAAACACCCACGGGCTTCCTTCACTCTTACTCAGAGTTGTGGGTAATTTTGTTGAATCATCAGCGATCCTAAGTGGATATTATTTCCTGGTTTACAAGAGCAGTAATGACATCAAATCTCACTGCTCTGGCTCATCAAAAACAAACCAACGTCTGACGTCCTGCTTATTTCAGATCCTGCTGACTGGGTTGCAGCAGGTATTTATAGCAGACAGTTACATGACATCACATGGAGTTTTTGAAGATGACTTGCAGCACATTTGAATTTACAATTCTGTCCCTGGGACACTTCTCACAGGGTAAACATAAAACACTCGTCGCTTGGGACCTAGAGTTTTTTAATGTATTATTCTCATTAACATAGTTCGGTCAGACAACTCGCGTGTTTCTTAATATGTTTATTAGAAGCAGCATATAGTTGAGTTTGGCGTCTAGGCTCGGGCCTCATCACTCCACAGATGTACATAGAACATTGAGTGATGATTAGATAACTATCCCCCCGATCCTACAGGTGGAAGCTGGGGTGGAGCTGGGGTGGTGGTGGGGCAGGCAAGCAGCAGCAACATGAAACACAGCAGCAGGAGCATGAA